TTTATATGATGCTTTTTTGATTGTTCAATTGAGTAGTTGTAATTGATTTTTTATGAAGCTACACAACAAAAACAGTTTTGTATTCAGTACGTCGATTATATTCACATGAATAAAAAATCAATTTCACGTTTAGTTTTGTTTATAATTGTTTGGTTTTACAAACATTTTTTTTGTTTTTAATAAATATTTTTTAAGAACAATTTTCAACTTTTTTCAACTTATGGCAATAAATATTATATTTCACTGTAATTTGTTAAATCCAACTTTTTTCCATCAACTTTTTTAATTTGAGTTGTAATTTTTGTACTGTTTTGCTTATCAATTTTTATTCAAAAAATATATTCCCAAAATGTTTTTTTGGAATAAATAATAATTCCATTGTGACAATTGAATAATATTTGTTTATATATATTTTAAGATAAAAGCCTCCTTTTTATAAAAAGCATACTAGTGGATAAACGTCCAACCAATGGATACAAATATTTTTAGTACAATAAAAACAATTTTGTCTTTAAAATGAAAGCATTTATTTGCAAATACACTTGATTTCATTTTGTTTTAACTTTGTTTCAAAACAAACAAAAAACATTTCAAAATAAATCAAAAATGTATATTTTTAACAATGTTTCAAAACAGAATAATTTTGAATCAAAATAAATATAATTGTACCAAATGAAATCAAAAGTGTTTCAAAATAATATTAAAAATAATACTTAAACAACTTAGCTAACTTGAAAAAACAAAATGGATTCTTTTGGATATATACCAATGAAAGAATTGACGATTTTGCATCCCGAAAACACCCATTCATCGGGAATTTAACAAAACTTCCAGATACACCAAAACTCAAAAAACCAACTGAAGAAAAAAATAAAAACATACTCGTTAACACGCCAAATGAAACCTATAACAGAGGAACATCACATTTTAAATAATCTAATAAAAAATTAATAAAAAAGACCATATATATAAGTAACAAAAAATCAACGAATTCTTTTGACTCATCGTTACGAAGAAAATGGAGAAGAAATGTCTTAGGTGTGGTACAGCCACAAAACTTGAATGACCATACCATCAACTCGTGTCTATCTCAACAAATTAATACGAATAATTGATATATCTTCAAACATGAAACGTGGTAGAAAACCAAAGTACACCAACGCACTTCTTAAAAGGACTGCTGTTATGCTTTGTCAAGAAAACATGTCGCTTAGAGAAGCCAAAAAGAATTTAGCAGAAAAAGAGTTTAATATGATTTAAATATCATCGCTAATGCATTATATAAAAATGACGAAATAATGAAAGGTTTCAAACTTGGCCTATTATCTTTTAGAGAAGTAACAATTCTACAAAAGCAGCAAATACTATTAACAACATAGGGTT